CAAGCCTCAGGTTCAGAGCCAGCACTGGCAAAAGCATCAACATAAAATTAAATAATCTTCTTTTCACAGCATTTACTTTCACATTTACCACTTCTCATAGCAGACAACACTAGTTCACTAGTTTCCCCCTTTATTGTTCTAGTAAGATTTTCCTTGTAAATCAATTTATTTAAATATAAGTGGTCTGATTTAAAGAAAAATACTAAGTAGAGTTAAGTCAGCAGATGATAAAGCCAGAACCTGATTAAGGTTGGGAAAAGGTGGCTGCTCCTCCACATGTCACTACTGAGGAGATGCTCAGAAACTCAAGCTGAGCCAAAAGGTCAAGAAGTAGATCAGCCTAACTAATCTGAGGCAAATACTTCAACAGCCAACATCTGAGCAGGGTTTCAATTAATCATAGAGATTCTAAATGTGGTACCTGTCTGAGCTGAATAACATCATTCATCTATTTCCCCTAGGTAAGATCACCCATGGGTCTGCATAGAAGACATAAACATTAAGGTATTCTTCATGAGCAAACTCAGCGAAGCTGCAGAGCACAAAGCATGAATTCCTGGGAAGCTCTCTCAGTATACAGCCTCCAAAGCACCCCACAAGTCATCTGCTAACCCTATGCTAATCCCACCATTCAGATCCAGAGTAAATGTATGTAAGTAGTACTATACAGTTTAAGCCATTCCAGTAGCCAGTATAGGACCAACACATTTATCCACTAAACTAACTGATGAACTTAAGATTCCACACCTCAAAAGAATGGTGATTCTGACTCTAGAAATGTCACCATCTCAACGCTTTCTCCTCCTCAAAGTTTTCTGGCAATTAATGTGACATTTCCAGCACATAATACAGAGATTTTTTTTAAAAAATAGGGGCCTCCCTTTCTGCCATTCTGGTTGGCTCAACCAATCTCTGAGCGCCAATCTGAGTCAGTCACTCTATGTCAGCCACTATATGTACCAAAGCAACAGCTGCATCAGAGTGGACTTTATCTGCATTTGTGAAAGCGATGCATCCCAGCCAGCTAGTGTGTCAGAATCAGCCCAGAGAGCTGTTTAGAATGCAGATTCCTAGGTTCTATACCTGGAAATTCCCATTCAGAGCATCTGGAGTCAGCCTCGGGAAGCTGCCCACTTAGAAAGCTCCTCTAATTCAAATGCACAGAAAGTTTGGGATCCACTGATTCAAATTATATTTTTAAATCTGAAATTAGCAGGAAGCAACACCTTACTCTTAAAAATGCTAAGTAACTAAAGAGAAATATGAGGCATGCTGGAGTATTTTGAAACATTAAAACATCGAGAAATCATGGTATTACTATGTTAGTTTCCAAGAAAGCAAACTATACTATGAGAGTAATCAGACTGAAAAACTGGAAATGCCAAAATGATACCATAATCATTCACCATCATTGCTCAAATGGAAATCCTGGTTAATCGTTAACTCCTAAAACAGTAGTTTGGCTAGCAAAAAAGTACAGGGCTTCTTAACTACTCTGAATAATAAGTTGCTCACCAACTCATCATAATTTTACCACCAACACTGACTGATTTTACAAGTCTTGCTGCCACTGTAGCATGTTTTCTTGTCCTCGTAGCAGTGGTTTTAAAGGAACTGCCTGCTGGAGTTTGTAGCAACTATTCATTTGTTCATAAAAGTCAAAGATGGATATCAGCAATACATGAATTCACATAAGACTGCTGATAAATTTTCACCAATTTCACTCGAAAAGAACGTACCATCCCTCTTTTGGCAGGTAAACAGACTACAACAGTTACTCTAAAAGATTCTGAATTTGAAAACTGTTTTTGTTAACTGTGGAAAATAGGAATGCAAGAATTGGCCTTCTAAAAATTTCAACATAAAAGAAAATGTTCCAAAAGTAATCTTTCCTGACACAACCCCTGTTCCCAAAAGATAGAAGGAACTATGGCAGTACTGGAAAAGGTTGTTGGACCTGGGAATCCTGTCCACCTCTCCTTCCCTCCAAGTGAATAGGGTGTCACTCCAGGGCCACCACATGGTGCCTTCCTCCACTTCATGCAGTAACTATCCCAAACCCCCATCTATCTCTACGTCTCTTGTCAATTCCACCAGCAGCCATCTCCTCCTCTGCTGATTCAAAGAGGGCACTCCTTCCACATTTCCCAGCAGAATCCCTCTCTCAGAGCACTTGGCCCTCACCTTTCTGCCAGGAACTCTCCTATCTTTAATATTTCCCTTGCCACTAGAGGGATCTCAGCCCTCCTACCTAGTGGCTTTGTCAGCCACATCTCCTGCCAAGCCACGGAAGACCTTGGGAGTATATGAATCTTGCATTCACACTTTCCCGTTTACATGTTTAAAGTTACCACCAACACTTTGTCAATCAACGACTATCGACTATCGTATTACAAGATACTGTGCTAGGGACGGGAAGGCAGGAAAGGAGAAAGACAGAAAAATGTAATTTTAAGATACTTTCTTGGCCAGGCGTGGTGGTTCATGCCTGTAACCCCTGTACTTTAGGAAGCCGAAGCAGGTGAATCACTTGAAGTCAGGAGTTCCAGACCAGCCTGGCCAACGTGGTGAAGCCCATCTCTAGCAAAAATACAACAGTCAGGCATAGTGGTGTGCACCTGTAATCCCAGCTACTTGGGAGGCTGAGGCAGGAGAAGCCCTTGAACCCAGGAGACGGAGGTTGCAGTGAGCCAAGATCACAGCACTGTACTCCAGCCTACGTGACAGAGCAAGACTCCACCTCAAAACAAAACAAAACAAAACAAAAACACTTTCTCCTACCTACATACATTGACATTCTAAGAGAGTAACGAGAAGATTAAAAAAAAAAAAAAAGAAAAGAAAAGAAAACTTCATAGAAATGCGCTGTAACCAGTGAGTAAAATGCTCCCAGAAGAGGGGACCAAGAGGTTCTCTTTCTGCCTAAGGAGTCCATTATACTCATCAATTCTCTCAGGCATCACTAAGTCACATCACTCTGGTTCTAAAAAATCTGCAACAGGTCCTCACCAACACATCCAGATCAGGGATCCAAAGCAGGCGGATCTGACAGGCACTGAGGCCCTGCGAGCTAATCCCAGCCTGCCTTTGCCCTCCACTCATCCACAGGTGGGTACAACAGTTCTGGCCAATGGTGACTCGTGCAGCACATCCCAGAGAGCCTGGAATTTCCTGCCCCTGTGCTTGCTCACATCAACCTTCTTGCCAACCTGGGGTCACCAAATATGGTTGTTCAGTGCACAAACTGTGCAGCCATATGTGGGAGTTCTTGTCTATCCAACAAACTACCTCCCATTTTAGTGGATTACAAGTGATTTTTCCAAAATATTTTCTGTATTTTCCACAAGTCAGAACCAGGAAATGACATCTTATCCATCTGTGTAACCACTCTAATGCCTACCCCAGGGATTCTCCTAGAAGCAGGAACTCAAACAATCTTTTCGTGGTTAAATAAAAGACGTTTTCCTTATAAAAAAAAAAAAGGTGGAATGTTGCTTATGATGGTGTGCCTCTTAACCCAACAACAGCAGTCTTAACAGTGAGACCTGTAAATTCTAACTTTAAAATGTTTCTCTGCCAGGCACAGTGGCTCGCACCTACAATCCCAGCACTTTGGGAGGCGGAGGTGGGTGGATCACTTGAGGTCAGGTGTTCGAGACCACCCTGGCCAACCGGATGAAACCCTGTCTCTACTAAAAATACAAAAATTAGGTAATCCCAGCTACACAGGAGGCTGAGGCAAGGGAATCGCTTGAATCGGGGAGGCAGAGGTTGCAGTGGGCTGAGACTGCACCACTGTACTCCAATGTGGGTGACAGAGCCAAGACTCTGTCTCAAAAAAAAAAAAAAGGCATCTCAAAGCTATGCAGTCTCCCTAGCTCTACTGCCAGATCTTACTCTTGGTAGTTTCATGTCTTGCCTCTGTACTATTCTCCCTGCTTCTGCCCTTCTCCCAGAATTATTCTCAGCAAATCAGCCACTGAGACAGGATGGTTACTCTCTTACATAAATCCTCCAGTGTCCCCAAGCTGCTTCTTACCCTGGCCTGTGAATGATCAGGTTCCTGCTTATAATGCTGGGTTTCTCCAGTTTCCACGTACCTTCACTAAATACTAAATACTCTTCAGCCACACAGGCCTTCTTCAGGTCTGCCTGCTGGCTATTCCCTCTGCATCAAATGCTCTTATTCTAGATTGCTGCCCAAGTTGTTCCTTCTCATCATTTAGGACTCAGTCAGCTCCAGTGTCACCTCCTAAGATGCTTTCTTTAAACACACTATCTTTAGAAGAACCCCATTGTTACTCTCTATTGCAAGCTTGCATTTGTAGTAGTAAGAGCAATGAAGAAACAACCTGCAGTTATTTTTAAAGGATATCTAGTTAGTTTAGCCTGCCTCTCCAATTAGATTGTAAACTCTGTGTCGGGAAGAATCACACTACATACTCAATACTTGAAACAAGATAGGTATTCAAATACTTGCAATTTGCTATTGAGGCAAACTGGGCATGAAACCAAGTTTTAGAATCAGAATCGTATCTTAAACACTTAGGGGCATTAGGACAATGCCAAACAAAGATATTTGGACTCTTAGAACTATTGAACTGAGAAGTTTCAAAATCACATTTCCGTTAAAAAAAAAAAAAAAAAAGCCCATTCATCCATATTGTGAGTGTATATATAATTTTAAAATCCAATGAATTAAAAACCAGGGGTTCTAGAAAAAAACAAACTTGTAACTATGCTGATACAACACTTTAAGAGAGATTTTATAAACTACACTTTCTCTGATTTCAATAAAAAACAGAAAATTCAAACCATTTTTAGTAAAAATTTAAAAATATCCAACATCTGATAGTTATTAACCCATTCAGTGAATTAAAAAGTCTACTTCCTGATGGGGGAGGATAGTATGACCTATGCATGCCATCACCATTTCTTAGTTTAATCTTGCTTTACCTTTCACCTTCTAGTAACAATTTTTTAAATGCTTAAGAACTTACCATAATGTGATTGAAATGCCTGCGGTTTGACAACCTGATTACAGTCGTTACACACCACCAAGTAGAAATCATCATGGGCTGGACAGAAACCAAATATTGGCATGTCTGCAACACAGAAACAGAGCATCACTCACTCATCTGGCTCTGACTGATATAAAACCATTTTGGGAAACAATACCTTCTAAAGAAGTTGCCTTATTATAAAGTGTACCAGGAAAGATGAACTGATGGAATACACCATCACTATTAAATAGAAAGAAATCACATCAGGCTTACAAAGACACTTTAAAGTGCACCAAAAATCATTATGAGGTAAAATAGACAATCTTTTAAAATGCAAACAATGAATACATTTGCACAATAAAGCAACATTAGATGAACACTACCAAGAGTTATGGGAAAGAATCTGCAACCATATAAAATGCTTAGTAATTCACAAAGCTGTTTATTTGTTTACGCATTCTATTCCGACTATCTAGTTACTGGGTTCCACAGAACCAGTAAGAAAGGGAGGAGAGATTTCACAGAGGAGTAAAACTGCTGGTTTGCCAGCATGTAATATAAAGAAAATTATTTTCGTATATTTTTTCCAAGTCATAGCAACCTCTAGTCCTTTTGCTTACATACTGATGCCACCAGAAAGACAGACTGAACCTTATCACAAACGGCATTTCATACATTAATCAGTTTGGTTACCAGATTAGGGTAGGATATGAGCTGTTTGTTTAACAGTAAAACTAAACTATCTGCATACACATGAAAACTGAAAGTAACTTGATACCTGGTAAATATGGTTAATATCTCAACCATCAACAATTAATTATGAACAATCTAGGGAACAGAGCTAAAAGTTCAGATCCAGAATCAAACTTAAGTATTTCAAAATCAGTAGATTTTAAACAAGTATTTTACACTATATGCACTATTTAGAATATCTGCAATGAATGGATAATTAGCACACTTCAATTTAAGCAAATGTTTTAGTAGATCAAATGCCCACTTTAAAGGGCAAGGCAGAAGATCTTAAAAAGCTGATTAGCCTCTGCTTTCTTTTCTTTGAAGATTTAATTTCACACTCTCCAGCTTGGGAGATACTGGTGGTTTTAAAGGCAGAAGAAAATTCCCTAAGGAGATGTCAAATGATGATAATCTCTAAAATATCAAATTACTGATAAAATATCTACACATAGCTATAGCTTGAATTTTCTTAAATAGTTTCTATTACACTGAAGTGAAGAGATAGCCAGCTATAAATCTGAAATATACTAGAGTCCAGCACGATTTAGGGATGTACTTGCAGCACTGAGTAGTTTCTATGTGCTATTATCTCATTTTATCCTCACAACTACCTAGGTAGATACCATTATATCCCCTCTCTAAAGAAGAGAAAACTGACTCACAGAGAGTTAAAGTACTTTGTCTAAGGTCAGTAGCTGGAATTCAATTCTGACTTATAATGTGGCTTGGATTTCATAACTCTTGAAGACCAGAGGAATAATGATATCTAGAGATTCCTTCCAGATTTCAATGTCAATAAACTAGAATGTCAGGACTGACCATCTTTGACTGTATAAACTGATTAGATAACATAAGAAGTTTCCAGTAGACTACGGATTTCTGTGACTAGGCTTATTTAATAAAAAATAAGAGTCAAACAATATGCTATTTTCCTTGAAAGCCTGCCCACATTGAGTTAAATATAGTACATGTGGGAGAAGGGGAAAGGTTATATCCATGCAATGATATACATGCAATAAGTCATTTTCCCAGATTATAGTTTCTTGACATGACATTTCATTCTGAAAAATAAAAATTTAAAGTAGTTTACCATAAGTTCCATATGCTTCCGTGCTAAATGCCTCTGATACATCTAAATTACAGAAATGGTATAACATTCATAATTTACTACTGAAAAGTCTGAGATAGATATCAAATAATTTGTTTAATGAAATCAACTCAGTTTTATTATTAGCAGTTAAAATAGTATTAAATAAACAGTCTTAGTTTACTTTTAGGTCTCTGTAATGTGCTGCTGGTGGTCTCTGTGGTTCCCTCAGTTCTGAATGTAAAGCAACATTGCTTAATATAGATCACTTTGCCTATGGTTGGTCTGTGGACTAACCCCTTACCCCTTTAAAAATAAAGCAATTAAGAGAAATGAAAACCTAAACTGAGCCTTTCAAATAATCAGGATTCAATTTGCCACATAATGCTTATCATGTACAAAACTATTCTTTTTTACTCTAGTTCCTTTGATCCTTTTCTGAGACTTATGACTAGTAAAACTAAAAAGGTAGGGTCATTCTGTAAGGAACTAAGAATGCACACTTCTGTAAAAAATTCTATTTCCTCAATAACTTAGGATCAATTGCAACTGATGATGACTATAATGATAAACAGCTAACATTTATGAGAGACCACTATGTGCCAGGCCCAATGCCAGGCAGTTTTTATATGGTTTATCCCATTTATTTCTAACAATAACCCTACTAAATAATCTCCATTTTACGTATGGAGAAACAAACTCATTTAACATCACCCAGCAAGAAAGCAGCATGACCAGGACTCTGATTTGTGTGACCAGAAAACCTGGTTCTTAATTTCTCAGGAGTACACCAAACCTCTCTAAAAAGCATGTACGCACATACACCTGCTCTGTGAAAAGAAACATGGTATACTTAAACCCAGTTCATTCTACTCGATGAAACTGAGTTCCTTAGGCAGGGCATGGTGGCTCATGCCTGTAATCCCAGCACTTTGGGAGGCCGAAGAGGGCAGATCTCGAGTTTAGGAGCTTGAGACCAGCCTGGCCAACATGGTGAAACTACATCTCTACTAAAAATACAAAAAAGTAGCTGAGTATGGTGGCAGGAGCTTGTAGCCCCAGCTACTCGGGAAGCTGAGGCAGGAGAATCACTTGAACCTGGGAGATGGAGGTTGCAGTGAGCCGAGACAGCACCACTGGACTCCAGCCTAGGTGACAGAGGAAAGAAAGGAAAGAAGGAAGGAAAGAAAGGGAAGAAAGAGGAAGAGAGGAAGGAAGGAAGGAAGGAAGGAAGGAAGGAAGGAAGGAAGGAAGGAAGGAAGGAAGGAAGGAAGGAAAAGAAAGAAAGAAAGAAAAAATTGAGTTCCTTTTATGAAAACTTAAAGCAACTTTAATTTTAGCTTTCTAAATGCTGTACTTTTAGATAACCATATTTGGAAGTAAACTAGAGGACACAAAATAATTTAAGTAAAATGTCTTCTTCAGGAGAAAAAAAAAAAAAAAAGGAGTTCTATATCCTTTTTCTACACTGGGACATTCCAGAGGCCTTAGCAACAGGAACAGAGTGTGGAATGTTGTAGCAACATAAAGAAATGAAATAATCTGTGTGTAAGAGACAGTATGTATGCTCCGAAGTATTTTAAAGTATGTATTCACAATCAACCCATCTGTAAATTTACATACAGATCTTGCTCAAATGCTGGGAAGAGTCTGATGACAACAGAAAATAAAACTATGAAATTAACAAAAATAAGTTCATTATTCAATTAAAAAGTTTACAAATAAAGCCAGGCACAGTGGCTCACAGCTGTAAACTTTGGGAGGCTGAGGCAGGCGGATCATGAGGTCAATAGATTGAGACCATCCTGGCTAACATGGTGAAACCCCATCTCTGCTAAAAATACAAAAATCAGCCAGGTGTGGTGCTGCGCACCTGTGGTCCCAGCTACTCAGGAAGCTAGGCAGGAGAATCGCTTGAACTGGGAGGCGGAGGCTGCAGCAACCCAAGATCACGCCACTGCACTCCAGCCCAGCGAAAGAGCAACACTCCGTCTCAAAAAAAAAAAAAACGGTTTACAAAATATACTTGAAATATACAACTTAGGCCATTAATTATGTACTTGAACATAAAGTTTAAAAATTGTACTTGAATTAATGGATTCTAAACTAATTGGAAAGAATGGATTTTATTGTTGTATAAGCCCTAAATCTTTCTCAGGATTTGGTCACTCCTATGTCTCAATTAGTGAGTGGGCCAGAACCCACATCTAGGCCATCATGTACTTTGGAGACCCCAGGCCAGCAGACTAGGGAGGATTAGGTTTAAGCACAGGACACCTGAGCACATGTATGTAGGAACTTCAGTCACATATAGAATGAAGTCCTTCTGCTAGAAACCATATCCTGAACCATAGTGAATGTATTTACTTCGGTGGTGCTAACTCCCTTTTGAGGACCTTGTTCAATAACAAGAAAACTTGAATGGCACCACAAAGCATTTAACCTGCCCAGTACCCTGCATGTCTCCCTCCTCCCATGCATCCCAAATTCTAGCATGCCACTCTACCATTTCTATATCCAGCCCAGATTGCTCCCAAGCACTGTCTAGTTTCACCTACCAGTCTGCCTACTAGACAGTACCATCTAGATGTCTTATATACCATTCAAACAGAACAAGCATGTCCAAAACTTCACTCTTGACTCTTCTCTACTCCTCACCCAACAACCTTCCCCATTTTGGGTAAATGATACTATTCATCCCCCAACAGCTCAAACTAAAAGCCCAGGTGTCATCTCCAATTCTCTTGTTCTCATCACATCCAGGCCACTAGCAGATCCAGTAAGTTATATTCTAAAATCTCCATCCACTTCTCTCCATTGCCATGGCCACCATTATTGGGCCTGCCACCAGCACCCTTTCAATGAACTCTGGAAGAAGTCCCCTATAAGTAGTCTACAATCCTTTCCACAAGGCTGCCAGAGGGTTTCTTTAGAATTCCCCACCAGATCATATCACTCCTCTGTTTAAAATTCTCCAGAGGCTTTCTACTCCTCTTGGAATAAAACTCTTGCCCTTACCCTGGCCTCCAAGGCCCTGCCAGATGTGTGCACTTCCCTCTCGCCCTCTGTTCCCTTGTTCCCCAATTCTCCCTCCTTGGCCCACTCTGCTCCAGGCACACTAACCTCCCTTCTCTCCTCAGAGTCAGAAATCTTTTCTCCACCCAGCATCTCTGCTTCTGCTTCACAAGATGCCTAGTGTATTCTCACACATCAGCTCTCAGCTCAGCTGTCACCTCTTCAAAAGGCTGTTCCTTCCCCCTTCCCAGTTAGTTACTCTATC